ATCCTTAACAAAAAGATCATCCTAAACAACCAACAAACAGTATTCAAAAGCAAGTTCGAACTCAGGATTTTTTTCTTTCATGAAGAGGAAAAGCTTCTTCATCTCAGCTTGAGGCTCTCGGTGTTCCTGATCACGGCATGCATTCTCAGACTCGTATTCATAAATCTTGCGCCGAAGTTGATCTTGAAGCTCCACAAGAGTTGCTGCAGAAGAGCTCGCATAACTCTCTTTCCATTCTTATGCCTTTTGTGTCTTGACCAAAATGCATCCTTATGTTATGAGTTTGACAGCAAATTCAGAATTTTGACGCTTACCTAGAGCATAAAACATAAACTGATGTTGATTAGAGCTTAAAACACCTACCAAAAAACAAACAAAAACTGATGTTGATCTCTCTAACCCAAATTTCTTTTTTGAGAGGTGGATCAATTAATCAGACCTGGCGTTGCAGTTCAGTGGCTGTAAACATGTTCCTTGCACCCTGTAATGTGTCCACATCAGCACATTAGATTACATCTTTCTTAGGTTATAAAAAGATATGTTTTATACATTTATAATACCAAAATCTCACAGAAGAAAATTGCATGACTGTTTTCTTTGGTAATATACTCTTTGAAGTTGATACCTCAACCACCTATTATAAACCCAACACAGCAACGTAAGAACTAAAAGACTTGTATCCAAATGTACAACGACCGAAAGTAGTCAAACTTAACTAAACAATAAAAGAACTAAAAAAGTTTGTTTTTTCTTAATGAGTCCTACTACTCCAGACAATCTAAAACTTCAATACAAGAAGATTCTCATGTCTTCACCATACCAATCAACAAGTTTAACTTTATTAAGTCAATCAAAGACTAAAAGCAAGCAACATAAATCAAAGACTAAAGCAAGCAACATATCCAACAAAGTCTCAATCTACCAAAACTACAATCAATGAGAAACCTTACCAGACTTAACAGGAAAGAACAAGGACAAGAAAGAAACCTTATCGACGTAGGGCCACATGTACGAGAGAAAGAAATCTGTTAAACCAGTCCACCTTAATGTAAACAATAAAAAGAACAATCAGTTCAAATAATCGATGGTAGCTAGATTATAAGTTCAATGCTTTAATTCAAAAAAAGGCTCGCAGATTAACAATCAACCACCGAAAAATCGAGTGAATCATTAAGTTACCCAGATGACCAAAACAAACAAAACAAACCTCAAACATGAAGAGTTAGATTAAGATGCGACAAGTGTGTTTGATTGATGTTTTAACTTGCTCATCAGCACAAACAGAGAATAGATTCGGCGGTTTCTGAACCGGCTCCCATGGTCATTCAAGCTCAGCCACCGCCGCTTTAAGCTCGGCGCGTTTCCGCATCTCACAAATCTGGCGTTCTCGGTATAATTTCGCCATGAGGAGTTGTTTCTGTTTCTTCGCTTGACCTCCCTCCTCGTCCTCGACTTGATTTTCCCATATTTGCCATAAAATCAGTTTCAATTGAGATAGAAGAGAGAAATTCGAAGAGAGAATAGAAGGAAATCGAAGAGGATTGAAGGAAGAGGAGAGAAAAGTAAGAGATCAGATGGGAAAAATACCTAAGTTTTGGATACAACTAAAGTGTCGATTGATTAATTTGGGTTTTGTCTCAAACCCAAATTAAAAAAGCGGAAAAATTGCCGCTCAAAATCGATCCAAATTTTTCATTCAGTTTGAAAAGAAAACTAAAAATAGTCACAAATAAGTCGCAAAGTGGTCTTTTATGACATATTCTTAAGAATCATAATTTTATTTTCTTAAATTACAAAACTTAAGACCCAAAGAAAATCTATATGTTATAATCAATAAAATTACAATACAAAACAAAAACAAGATCAATTAGTCTAATGAGTTAAAACATGAAATGCAAAAAAATTTAAGAAATTTCAAAATCATTAGTAACATTACATATAACACTTGTGTAATGTTCAAAACCTTGTGCAAACCATAGAAAACTTAAAGTTTTTTTGGCATAATAATGATTCAGTATCTATAGTAATTCAAATCAATGTAGAAACCTTAAAACTTAACATATTGACAATTCTTTAATTTGAAATCTCTATATAAAATCATGAGAGTCTCTAAACGGAAACAAAACCGTCCCACTTTCAGGTGTTTGTCACAAAGCAGTTGCAAAAGTGTGGGTAATTTGTGACATATTTGTAACTTTCCAACTATTTAGTCGTAAAGTGCTACTATTTTGTGACATGGTTTTTAAGAGTCACAAACTTATTCTTATGAATTTTAAAGTTTTAGAACCAAAGAAAATCAATTTATAGTGTTAGAACCAATAATATTACAATACACAACAAGATCAATCATTTATATTAGAGAAAACATGAAATTCAATGAATTTAGGACATTTCAAAAGTATTAGTTGACATTACATATACCATGATGTAATGTTATGAAAGTTTCTATAAATCATATAAAACTTAAGCTATTAGAATGATTCAATACCTACAATAGTTCAAATTAATGTAGAAACCTTGAAACTTAACATATTGAGAAATCTCTATTGGTAAATCTCAAAATAAAATCGCGAGCGTCGCTAAACGGTTACAAAATCGTCTCAAATTCAGGTGTTAGTCGCAAATAAGTAGCATATATGTGGGTAATTTAAGACTTATTTGTAACTCTCATAAGTTTCCGTCGCAAATTAGTTACCGTTTTGTGACGATTTTCTTAAGGGTCACAAACCTATTCTTATGAATTTAAAAGTTTTAGAACCAAAGAAAATCAATTTATAGTGTTAGAACCAATAATATTACAATACACAACAAGATCAATCATTTATATTAGAGAAAACATGAAATTCAATGAATTTAGGACATTTCAAAAGTATTAGTAAACATTACTTATATGATTATGTAATGTTTTAGATATTTGAGATCACATTAGAAAACATGAAGTTTTGTATGGCATACGATGTATTCACTGTCTATAATTGTTAAGATCATACTAAACACATCTAATATTACGAGAATTCAAAATCTAACATGGTAAATGTTTATCTAAATATCGGGAGTCGCTAATAGGTGAGAAAAGAGTCCCAGTCTCAGGTGTTAGTCGCTAAATAGTCACTAGATCTTTGCGACGGATTTGTGACGACACAAAAAAAAGTAACAAATAAGTCCTATATTGTGACCCTTTAGCGACGATGTTTTGTAACCCCGTTCTTTCCGTCCCAAATTAGTCGCAAACTAGGACCTTTTTTGGACCGGTCTTAAAATCGTAGCAAAATGGTCGGTAATTGGCGACTAAGCAGAGACTAATCGTTGGCGTCGTAAATTGGCGACAAATATGCGTCTACTTTTAACGTAGTCGTTAAAGAGTCACTATATGGTAACAATATCGTCGTAAATATTTGCGACCAACAAAAGAGTCACAAAAAGTAGTCGCAAAAGGCTTGTTTTCCTGTAGTTTGAGACGTTAGACATACCAAGAAATTTAAAACACGAGACTCTCTCCTATATGGCTATATGCAAGGGAAGAGATCTAAAGTGTTGACTTAAATTACTAGCATATCATGATGTGGTTGGCGTACTAGATGACGAGAAAATACATAGAACAAAGAATTGTTTGTTTAGAATTAAGTAAGACAAGTTTCAAACAACATAAGTAACATAACTACGTATACCATTGTATTAATATATCATATATTGTTATTGTATGTATTCATAATAGTAATAGATTAGGATCGTAGGTATATAAATAATCAGATTTATACATGAAAAAAGTAGAATTTATATTTTGAATAAAAAAAAGAAATTAAAAACGAACTTCTTTGGATTCGAACCCGCTCACTGTGGGTCAAAAAGTCAACCTAAACTTTATGATTTAAATGAGATTTCAAAAGTTCATGCTTTTTTCGTCCCAAATTTGAAAGTTCGCGCATTTTTTGACATTTTTCCCAATTAATAATATATATCCTCTTTATTTGTTTATGTGTCTTAGGTACCGGCTCCACCTAGACGTTATGGATAACACAAGGGAGAGCAAACTTATGATGTTTGATACTTTTGTTGAGCAAATAATCGGAAGTTCTGCTACTAAACTCTTTGAAGGCACAGATGAAGCGGTAATTAGTAATTATTTGCATTTATTTTCATCCTTTTTTTTGTAGATAATAATTTGATACCTATACTATATAGAGGAGCTTGATGATCCCCTACCAGTTCCCGATGTAGTTAAAAACATCATTGGAAAAGCTTACCAATTTGTGATATGTGTTGAGCAAGACAACATCTCAAGAGGAAATGATGAATACAAAGTGAATGAGGTTTTAACAAGTCAGAACCTCAATCAAGCTTTGCCTAAAGCTGAATCTGATTATCCTATGGATCATTCATCCAACAGTTCCAATGACCAGGTAATACATTTTCCTAATTTGATTATGTGTTTTATATAATGTGATAATGGTTATTGTTCCTTACTCGCCTAATTCAAAATAAATTATGTTTTAGGTTTTGATGCTGACTAATAGTCAGGTCCGACCCGAAGCAGAAGCCCAACAAGCAAGGGATTCTGGCTGTAAATTTAATATGTAATTTTAGGGGCATTAAATTTGAGAATGTCCTTTAGTGTAGTGGTAAAGTCACTACAGGAAATGTGGGTATTAATAGCGGCCGAAAAACGCAATTATTCATCTACCATAGCGTTTCCTTAAGCGCTCTGACATCGCCCGTTATAGAAAGTCGGACACTTTTGATAGCGGTTTTTCGTTGTGCTATAGTTAATTGAACTACGATAGCGGTTATGACACTGCTATTATTAATATTTATAATAACGTGTAATAATTGTTATGATTGGGTTGTACCTATTTTCATGATTTGATTTTTCTACAATATTTATTTGATTAATTATTTCAATAATTTATATTTTTTATAATATTTATATTTTTGTTAATTATTTTAATTGTATTTAAATCATCTTTACTGTGATTTTTGGATTAAAATTACATATCAAAAATAAAAAATACAATATTTTATTATCATTATTACATGAAATAATATACAAAAACTTTTATAAAAATACTACATCAATTAAAAATACAAGACCAATACATCTCCTCTACATAGAATGCCTCTTCATCTGCCCTTGTCTCCTATCTTCATCTTCCTCCTCTGGCACTAGATAGCTCAATCAGAAGAAGAGTCACTTGTGTAGGTGCAATATCTTGCACATCGGCTGGTGGATAGGCTTCATAAACATGGTGGAAAACGACTCGGGCGATTCCATCCCAATCTCTTGATAATCTGAATACACAGAGTCCAACTCTCTAACAGCAATATAAAGCAACAAACCACACAACAACAATCCCCAAAGAGATAGCTCAGGAAAATAAAAGAGTTCCAACACAATAGTGCATAGAAACGTAACTAGAAACTCCCTCTCTGAGTCCATCTTCACCACTACCAGAGAACAAGAAACTCCAAATAGCAAGTGGGAACAACAAGACAAAACACACAAAAAAACGTGATAAGTTGTACAAGCTTCAATGGCAACAATCCGAAAACTCCAAGCTGATCAAGTTAAATTTGGGTTAAAGAGATTCAGGAATTACCTCATGCTTTCAAGAGCAGCCTTTTGCAACTCGGGATTGGGATCATGAACCCTCTCGACATAGAGCTCAAGGTTCTGCTTTAGTTCCAAGTCCTCTTCAGACTACAATAACAGCCAATGGAAGCCGAGTCATTAAGTGACCATATACTTATCTACAAGTTAACATGCTAATCGAATGACGGACATGACATTCACTTTAACAAACGAATAGCTTGCCTGCGAAAAAAAAACCCTAATTCTATAACATACGAATTCAATTCGATCGATTTCAATTCAAAATCTGACTGCAGATCCTACAGATTTGAAATTAAAATCGCTTCTGATGAACCCATATACCAAACAGTTGCAACGAAGAAACAATGTCGAAAAAGAAGGACAAAATCAAAGCGAGAAAGAACACACTAACCAGGTCCTCCTCCTTTTTGTCGTCCTTCTTCTTGGGATCCTTAGACGGAACCTTGAGGGAAGCTTCATCCTGCTTCGTCTTCTTCTTATTATAAGTACCTTCGTCTTATTCTTTGGTTCTCTCAGATTCGAGTCGGAGATGACAATGAATTTGAGGTTTGAAGAAGTAGGATGCGAGAATTTTTTTCTGAATCAGCGAAGAGAAGACCTAATCTGAATTAATTTTCTTGTGAATTTTGTTCTCAAGAGAAAATGGTGAAGAACGGATGAGAGGTTGAAGAGAAAATGTTAATTTTGTTCTCGCCAAAGACTTAGTTAGGCGATGAACGGATGAGATTACCTTAAACATGCAGCCGCCAAAGCCATTGAAAGGATGAGATGTCGCCACATCAGCAATCCGAGTATTACTTATTGATTGGACTGAGTAAATTAGATCCGATGAATGGCTGAGATCTCGCCACATCAGCAATCCGAGTGAAACATTATGATTGGCTTATTTTCTCTATAGGCATAAAAATGTGTTTTTACTATTTATATAATTTTAAAAAATTATTTATTGATGAATTAATATGTTTATGAGTTATTTACATGATTAGATAATTTTTTCGCAATTTAAAAAAAATATTTTGCAACGTTTTTAGAAATTTGAAGGTAACACATATGATTGCCTTAGAATACATGTACACTAATCTTCTTATTGTGTAAATCATATTGTTGAAACACATTAATGATGTTATAATTAATAAAATGATAGAATTCATTTATGTTATAATAGTATACTACTTTATATCATTAATATTAGCTACTATTTAAAACACTAAACCCTAAACCCTAAACCCTAAACCCTAAACCCTAAACCCTAAGATAGGAATTTTTTATACAACTTGAAAAAACTTTACATATATATTTAATACAAACTTGGTTATATTTGCTTATGTGTAAGTATATATTATAACTTTTATTATATTTGATCATATAGCTAAAACAATGTAATATTATTTGATTTATGTATAATTGAGAAATAAATGTATGAGAATACATTTAAAATTAATTGTTGGTTGTCGTTCTAGTAGTTATTTTTTTCTAGATTTGTAGATTTTTTTAACTTTCATATATCTGTTGGTTTCTATTCAAAGGATAAATACTTTATCCAAAGATTAAACACATGAAAATCTAGAAACACAAAACCCGTAAGTACTTATGTTTTTTTTTAAAATGTTACAAAGTCGCAGTTTTGTTAAAGCCTAAAAAAGTCTCAGACGAAAATAAGTTTATCATTTGGCCAGGCCACTATAGAGCCTATTGCATCAGATATGAATTGGATTTCTGAATTTGGTCTCCACACACTTGCACTACCAATCTTCGAAACTTCTACCCATACTTTGCTGGCATTAGGACCAATTGGGACATGATGGACAACATCTGTTGGATTAGTTGAACATACTCTGCCTTCTGCAACTTTGCGTCCAGAGTTATTGCACTCTAACAAAATGCACTTCTTCTTAGCATCTTTGCTAGTACCGGTGTTGTTACTTGCAGTACTCTATATGCAAAAACATAAAACAATTCTACTATAACACATCATCACATCAACATCAAAACTCAAACAAAAGAAATATATCAAAAAAGAATAAGGCTATCATACATGTGAAGACTTTCTTCGTATTTCTTCTTGTGCATTTATATTCAATAACTCTATCCTATCGATTGGCCATGCGATCTTCTCATTAAGTGCATCACCCATCACATACATTTCAGAACTTGGTCTCCACAGATAAGCAGTAGGGTTAATCACCTGATAAACTTGCATAACAACAGCATTTGGACCAATAGGAATATTGTTGACCAGCTCTTTTTGATCAGTCGACCACACAACACCCTCAGCAATAACTTCATCCCGATTCCAATCCAAAATTTTGTAACTATCATGTTGGTCATCTGTTCTAGGATCCTAAAGTTATCATGCGTATGGTTAGTCATGAAACAAGTAATGGTACATCTTAAAATACAATCAAAGTTAATAATATTTACCTTTGATCCATCAGTATTATGAGATTCATCTTGGTTGTCAAATCCGTCATCCAATATCAATTTATCAGCTGGCCATGCTACTTTGACTCCTACAGCTTGTGATAGGGAGAATACATCTGACGTAGGCCTCCACACACATGCTTCTGGGTCTACTACAGACTTGATGATTATAGCTGCAGCATTAGGACCTAGTGGGATACGGCCAATCTTATACTGAGGTTCAGCACAGCAAAACTCTCCTTCACCAACAACGATATCTGTCGGCGCAAACCAGTCCAAGATCTGACACCTAACTCCTTTGCTAACATTACTAACCTCGGATTCAGAAGCCATATTACCAGTACTTTTCTTTTCAGCTAAGTCACGGACTAGATTCTTCAAGTCTTGAACCTCGCTTTGCAATTCTTCAAGTCTCGGATTCAGAATCACACGCAATATACAAAGTTCATCTATCAACCAGACTCATACCTTGGAAGCCAAACCCATTTCTTCTCCATATCACCAATACGACCACAGCTCCACCACAATTCAAAGGATATAGACACTCAAATAACTAGAACAAAAGTACAGAAACAACAGAGTACCAAAAGAACAGCAATTGGATTACCTTTAACTGAATGTTTCACAGACCTGTAATTTGAAAAAAATCTTGGATTAGTATCGAAACAATAATCTTAAAACAAACGAATACACAAGTTCATTTGCTAGCTAAAACTTAAATTTCTAATGGAAAATAAACGAAAGCAAAAACCAATACGAATACGATTTACACAGGTTGGTATGAAAACGCTTAAGAATACAACAAAATCGACAAAGAGATCGAAGAAAAATACCGAGATTGAAAGCGAAATTATAAGATCTACTAGCTGCGAGCTGCGCGAAGGAGATGAAGACGAGAGTTGAAAGTGATTTTGAGAGTGATTAATCGACAGTGAGACTCAAAGTGAGAGATCGAGACAGAAACTGAAAGTAGAGATACAAATCGAGACAAAAATTGAGAGTGAGAGATCGAGACAGAGATTGAGATTAAAGAGATCGACACAGAAATTGAAATTAAGAGATCGAGACAGAGATTGAGATTGAGAGATGGAGACAGACAAGAGTAGGGATTTGAGAATGGCTAAGAGGAAAAAAATGAGAAGGGGATCGATAAGTCACAAAATGGGTCAAAGCCCTAGTTTTCAGAAATTTTTCCCAAAATTTTTTTAAGTCGCGGGCAATAATTTTTCTTTTCCCGGTTAACAATACTATAGCGTTTATAACTCTACTCTGCTATTACTAGTCAATGGTTCTAAGCGGGAGAGTTAATTAATTTTGCCGCTAAAACTAATATAGCGTTTCTTTTAAACAAACGCTATAACATAGTACGTCTTAAGTTAAGTATAGCACAAATTTAATAAACGCTATAACAAGGTGCTATTAAAACCCCAATTTCCTGTAGTGAGTGTTGTGCCATTTTCTTTCAAAGCAGGGTTCGAACCTCTTCGATTTTTTTCCCAAAATCGATTTTTTTAATTCTTTTTCAAAAAAAAAAAAAAATGTTTCCGTCTCCATTTGTTAGATTAATTAAAATTAAATAATTATTTATTATACAAATTAACTACATAAACCTAATTTTCTCTACCCGTGACGATTTCTATTCTTCCTCTTTGTCACCATCAAAATTCTTTCAAAAAATTCCAGCTTCTTCTCCATCTTAATCTAATAATCTCTTACACCAGTTGTTTTCTAACTTTAATCTATGTTCTTTACTTATGTATGTCTTCTTCTATTTCTCTTTTCTTATCAAATTTGCCAATCTATGTCTTGTAATTTCTTTTTATTTTTCCATGTATGAATAGTTTAGAGGTTTTCTCACTTAGCACTTTATCAGAATTTAGAAAGATTAATATATAATGGTTGAATATTTGAATGATTAAGAATTTAAGACTGGAAATTTTAGATTACGTGATAAGATATCGTTGCTTTTGTGTTTATGTCTTATGTTCTTTTTCTGTTTCTATTTTTGTTTTCTCATTCTGAAATCTTGTTATTATTATTTGTAGTACAATGCCGCCAGGAGGTAGAAGCCAACCAAGTGGATGTGATAATAGGAAAAGAAAAATTAGACGAGACGAAGTGAGGAAATCTCAAATTGGTGATATGTTAAGGTATGTTACGAGAACTCATAATTCTCGAATTGATGAGACTGCTGGACAAGAGCTAGGTAAAGAAGATGAAGGGCCTATTAATATGGAGGAGAATGCAGATGACAAATGTGCAGAAAAAGTGGTGGAGGATGATGCAGATCATATGAATAATAATAGAGGAAAACAGTTTGAGAGTGAAAACATGAGAGAGTTTATGAGAAAGTTGATGAAATTAGATTTTTTATGAGAATGTGAATATGACTGATCCTGCAAATTGGGAGAAGATAGACTAGAAAATGAGAGATTATTTGGTTGAGAAAGGACCACCTCCAAGACCACCAGCTAATTACCGTTTTCCAAAAGATGATATTGATAGATGTTTAACTTATTCATCTTATATAAGAAGAATGAATAATGGAGAGAAACAAGTTAGACGATGGTTAGTTTACTCGAAAATTAAAGATACGATCTTTTGCTTTTGCTATAAATTATTCGATCAAGAAACAACTCCTACTCTGTTAGCAAGTAGTGGGCTTAATGACTAGAGAAATGCTTCGCAAAGGCTGAAAAGACATGAAACAACTCATCGTCATATTATTTGCATGACTCGTTGGATGGAGTTAGAACTGAGGTGGCAAAAGAATAAAACTATTGACAACCATAGGCAAGAAGCAATTAAGAAGGAGAAAAAACATTGGAGAGATGTACTGTTGAGAATAATTGCAGTGGTAAAGACTCTAGCTGAACAAAATTTAGCATTTCGTGGAACTAATGAGAAGATTGATGATCCAAATAGTGGAAATTTTTTGGATGATTGGAGGTTTTGATTCGGTAATGAAAGAACACATTCGACGGGCTAATAAAGGTGAAATTCATTGCCATTTTCTCAGTATAAGATTCATAATGAGTTGATAGAATTACTTGCTAATGAGACCAAGATGATGATCTTAAAGAAGATTAAAGATGTAAAATATTTATCAGTCATTCTTGATTCCAATCCCGATGTTAGTCGTAAAGAACAAATGACATTCTTAATTCGATGTGTGGATGTTTCAACGAGTTCACCTAAGATTGAAGAGTTCGTCTTGACATTTCTAGATATCAAAGATAAGAGGGGCGAGGGACTTTTTAAGACTCTTCAAGATGCATTGATTGATCTTAAATGGAATATCGATGATATAAGAGGACAAGGATACGACAACGGATAATATGAAGGGAAAACATAAAGGAGTTCAAAAAAGGTTGCTTGATATAAATCCAAGGGCATTTTACACGCCATGTGGATGTCATAGTCTTAACCTTGCACTTTGTGATATGGCTTCATCATCCAAGAAAGCTGTTTCTTTTTTTGGCATTGTTCAGCGAATATATTGTCTATTTCCAGCATCAACCAACAATTGGGAAGTGTTCAGAGAAATGGTGAATGGTATTACACTTAAACCGTTGTCTCAAACGCGTTGGGAAAGTCGCATTAATAGTCTTAAACCAATAAGATATCAAGCTTCAAAGATACAAGATGCACTCTTTTATTTGGCAGAATACAGTGATAATCCAGGACACCGAAGTGATGCTGAGTCTCTTGCAGAGAGTGAAACACATGGAATTGGAGGGTTAGAATTTTTTTTTGGAGTGGTAATTTGGTACAATTTGCTTGCTTTTGTGAATATAGTAAGCAAATCCTTACAGTCGGAGGATATGGATCTTAAGGTTGCTATTTCTTAGTTAGGAGGGCTTGTTACTTATTTGAAAAACTATAGAGAAACAGGTGACGAGAATGCCAAAGCTGAAGCTACATAAATTACCATTGAGATCGAGATTGAGCCGGTATTTCCTACAAAACCGAAGCGCTTGGTGAAAAAAAAGGCAATTTGGTGAGGATGTTGAGAAGGTTGATGAAAGTAAGACTGCAGAGGAGCGTTTTAGAATTTATTACTTCATCAATATAATGGATCAAGCTATAATGTCTCTTAAGGTAAGATTCGAGCAGTTCCAATGTTATGAGAAAATCTTTGGATTTTTGTTTGTTGTAAAGAGATTGAAGTTTGCAGAATATGATGAGTTGAGGACATCGTGTATGAAGCTTGAAGCTTTTTGAAGCATGATGTGCATTCAGATGTAGATTGAGAGGATCTGTTTATGGAGCTGAAACTTTTAAAAGATGTGTTGCCAAAAGAGATTACAAAGCCGGTCGAAGTGTTGGAATTTTTAAAAAGAATAGATGGTTGTTATCCATTGCGAATATCAAAAAAAAATTGTTGTGTTAAATTCTCCATTAATCTCACTCATAATTAATTTTTAAAAACGAAAAAATAAAGTAAAAAAATCATACCAATGTATCAAGTACTACTTTCATTCTACTCTTCTTATTTTATTAATTTTTTTTTATCAATGGTCATTACTCGATAATGGCTAAAAACTCACTTGTGTTGTAGTTTAGATGTTTGCTACCTAACCTCATATTAATTTAGTAATTTTACCTTGAATATTTTCTTTTTGTTACGTTTTGTGAATATGATTTATCATATGACATTCTCTCTTTTCATTTTTGTGTGTTATGATAAGTTGGTAATATTGAAATACAATTTTTTTTCACTTAATGGTCCTTTGAGACGTTAGACATACCAAGAAATTTAAAACACGAGACTCTCTCCTATATGTCTATATGCAAGGGAAGAGATCTAAAGTGTTGACTTAAATTACTAGCATATCATGATGTGGTTGGCGTACTAGATGACGAGAAAATACATAGAACAAAGAATTGTTTGTTTAGAATTAAGTAAGACAAGTTTCAAACAACATAAGTAACATAACTACGTATACCATTGTATTAATATATCATATATTGTTATTGTATGTATTCATAATAGTAATAGATTAGGATCGTAGGTATATAAATAATCAGATTTATACATGAAAAACGTAGAATTTATATTTTGAATTAAAAAAAAATTAAAAACGAACTTCTTTGGATTCGAACCCGCTCACATCACGGCTGGCTTTTTATGCATAGCAATTATGGTTTATAGTTCTTTTTTGTACCTCAAATTTGGTCCTTTGTCGGTTTTTTATTTCTCCTTTTTATGTTATGGTCACTTGGAAAGTAAGATCTCAAAGATCTTTGCCAATTTGTGATGAGTTGTTTACGCGAGGTTTATAGCTTGGTCGATTACATGTTTTGATTTTCGTTGCTGTTTGGTTTTATATGCATGATAATTCTCATGATTTTGATTATCACTTCTTTCTTTTCTCAAGTAAAAGCATAAACTTTTTGGATCGTGGAATTGCAAACGAAGCTCAAACCAACTGAGGTATCTCCCTAATCTTGCTTGATTTATGCGTTTTTTACCAAAAACAAAATTAATTTGATTGCTCTACTATTGCGTGATCATATAGTTACGATCATCAATCGATCGACCGTGCGGCCTTATTTTCTTTGGTACGATCTGTATTCTTTTACGTGTTGTTTTTTTTTTTATAACGCATTGTTTTATTGTTTCGAATATATTTCTGTGATACGTAAACTTTAAATCTGTTCAGCATGATGTGTTCTATATTATGGAGCCTATGAAGATTATTCATCAGCCGCGACGTGGTCGGGATCGTATGAGAAAGAGGGCACGAGTCGTTATGGACTGGAAGACGTGTTTTCGGACTTATAATTATCATTATCGTGTGATCGATATCTCGATGTATTTTTAGATTTTGGTTATGATATCTTTATTAATTATACTAAATTTGTATTAATGAATGAAATATTTTCCGTATTAATGAATGAAATACTTTTGATTATGTTGATCTTATCGTCTTGGTCGAATATCACTCATGATATTAGTCTAAGATAATCGGTAATATCTTGAGAATAATATTCGCTGACGATAGTACCTATATTCTGATTTTAATACTTTTAACTGAAAATAATCGCTATTGAGAATATTAATACTCCAAATATGTATACGATTATATATACCTAATCGGCGACATGACACTTTGTATCGGTATATCATGTGAACTAGAGCGGATTTGAAACTATTTTATTCGTTTAGTGATACCCAATTTACCTGTTTTTGGAGGAATAAAACACAATTAATCTTTAAACGTATGCTGCTAATAATGATGAAATATCGCATCAGTGTATTTTATAAGTTATTAATAATTTGTGATACATATATCAAGTTGAAATACATATATATCAATAACAACTATAACAATATATATCTCATTTTCTTTTTGATATGATCTTTGGGGTTGATTTGATATGATCTTAACAAATAAACAATATTATTATACGTATTATTTGAGGTTATCCTATAAAATATTATTATACAAATAATTATTATTTTTATTATAGGATATTATCCTATATAATATTATTATACAAACAAAATTATTAAGATAACAACTACTTATTATGTTTTACTACCAAATATTTCGAGATTGTATTTAATATTGATATATACAAATATTGGATACTATTAAACAATTATTATACAAATAAAATTATTAAGATAACAACTACTTATTATGTTTTACTACCAAATCTTTCGAGATTGTAGTTAATATTGATATATACAAATATTGGATACTATTAACCAGTTTTCTATTTTTATGTTTTGCTGATTATAGAAATTTTCGTATTATTATTATATATGTCTATATAGTAGCTCATAAGAAGTTAGATGTTTTTTTTTTTTTAAGTTAAAATGAATATGTGAATATATGTAATTATATGGAGTATTATGTTAGTTTCTTTTTAAAAAAGTATTTAAATGTTATATTAAATATTCTCAGTATTTTATTTGGTAACTGCGAATATTGGAGATAAATATGAGTATAATTTTTTTGTAATATTTACCGATTTTTTGTGATTGTGTGTGTATCACGACGATTTTAAAATGTTATTTTTCTATAACTATATGACTTTGGTTGAGTCTATCCGTATATCTATATATATAGATACATATCTACCATACACGACCGTGGTTAGCGACTAGACATAAGCGATTTTGGTTCCCAGTGTAAGAATCTTTATTCAATAATGACTACAACTTCAATATGATATTCTTGCTTTCCGTAACGATTTAGCCCTTTCTGATCTTTCTCATTAATTAATTTTGCCAGGTGATGAGGTACAAGATGTTTGACGATGTTTCGCGCTTGAATTCTTCTAAGACTGATTGGCTCATCTGGGTTCGGGTTCTGAATGTATGGCAACATAACGAGCGTGGACTTGGAACGAGTCTAGAAGTAATCCTGTCTGATAGTAAGGTTTGTGAACGAGTCTAAAATTGTGTTTTAGACCAGCTAGACACAATTTTTCATACGTTCGAATGCTCTTACTTCAGTTACTTTACTAAGGTATTTCTTACAAAGTGATTGTTTCACTTTTGTCAAGTTTCGTGACGTGAAGGAAGGTCGCCTAGATCCTAATTACTGTGTGGGTAAGTGATATGTTATATGTTGATTTAGATTGTTTTTTTTTTGTTATTAAACCGTTTCAAATCTAAATTCGTAGATCAAATTGGGAAGCTTGTGCGTACTATCGATTTTAGAGCGTCTGTTTTGCTAGGCGTTAATCGTCGTTTTTACCAGATTGAAGACAGAAGGTGACTATTTATTTTATCTATAGTTTTTTTAAAAAATATCAATTCGTTTTTTTCTTTTTTCTTAAAAAAAAAATGGATGATACTACCTTGCTGTCTTACCATGATGAAGTGGGATACGTATACCATGTCGATTGCCGAACTTCTATGTTAATAGATTTATAAACGATAGGGCAAGTTGTGTTGACGATGTCAAAATCATCATAATCAGATTTGCTAAATTGGAGCTCTTTGAAGGTACATATAATATTTTTTCCTATTATTGGATTTTAAAAATTAATCCGGCATTGTAACCGTTTTAAAATTTCGTATTTACAGGAACAATCCATGCTACAACAACTGAAAGGTGTACGCAATTCTTATTCAATCATATTTGTCCCGAGGTTACGGTCATGCGGAGGTTCTTACAAACTTTATGCTTATCTTATTCTTATTATTTAGGAGACTAAGATTGAAGCTACTATTACCGGTGGTCCGTTTGATCATGATAATATAACTGGCTTGAGGGAGGACACATGGTACTTTCTATCTGATTTTTTGGTTCTGTACTTGCCGGAGTTGATGAGTAACACGTCCAACATGTTCCGTATATGGTTCCATCGACCAACTAAAATGACCAGCACGTATGAGCGGTCACCAAGTAAGTGTATTGAGCCTGAAAGATTTAGCCGCATAGGGGGATGGAGGATCCTGACCGAAATTCCGATTGGTACGTTTTTTTATTTCAAATTTTTTTTTGTTTGGTTCTAACGAAACAATGGGATAGCTAATAAATCGAATACTTTAAATCTAAATACGGTGGGATTTATAGTTTATATCGACCGCCTTATACGGATCCCTTATGTTTCTGGCCAATACGAAAGGGGTAGAGGATGTAACTGTGTCTACTTCGTCTTAAAGAATCATAGGTGAGTTTATTTTTCAATTTGTATGCCATAATTCATTTATTTATGACGTTTGGTTCTGGTTTGAAAATTAATAGGGGATTGAGATTGAGATGTTGCGCGATAGGAGATTTAGCCGACTATTTTATGAGAGTATGGGTAAACCGAGAATATGGTCATTCGTACCTTCGTGATCCTGTATTTTGTGTTTTGAGGTTTTGGCATGTTGAAGAGTATAAAGGTATTGACTTATATATATTCATCGTATTTTCCAACAACCAAAATTTAAGCCAGTTATTATCTTATTTTCTCTCATCGGATTGAATATTTTACAGGAAAACCATGTCTCATGAATAGGGTTGGATGCTCTAGATTTTATCTTGACCCGGAGTTTGACGAACTTGAGGAGATCAAAGAACGGTAATATTCAGTATTTCTAATCATATATTTGTTGCATATACGTAATTCATATGTTTAATGATCTGTTAAAATTTTATATATATAGTACACTCTCCACCGCTTATGCTTGGGCCGCTACGAATTCAAGATGTTCCGATTTGGATGATTGAGTGACCATGGAATTTTCTACAAATATTATCAATGAGTCTTGTGGTTTTATGGGTTTTAAGGAATGTATAATTACTTATTTTTAGAGACACTATGCTTCATCTTTTGTAATATTATGGTCGAATTTTGAAATCTCATAAATAAATTTTTATCATCAAAATTTCAATGTTTCCCGTAGTTTTACGATCTTGAAGAGATCAAGGAACGGTAATATTCAGGGTTTATCATGATATATTAATTGGATGTTCGCATTTGTTTCGGATAATAACCTAGCAAGATTTCTATACATATTACACTCTCGATGGCTTTTACTTGGGCTACAAAGAATGCAATATATTCAGAGTCGGATGATTGAATGGGTCATGGAGAAGTCTACAAAAATGTTTGATTAGTTTGGTGTTCTTATGAGCTATAATTGATGGATAAATCATTTATACTAGACACGTTATGTTTGATCATTTGTAATAACTCGATCGTATTTTAAAGTCAGTAAACTATTTTTAATCTTCATAATTTGAATATTTTTTTGAAAAATCATCTTACCGCGCAAGGCGCGGGTAACTACCCTAGTATATATGTAAATGTGTAAGTCCATTCGATTTTTTTCATATAAGAAAACTTTTCAACTGCATATAAATTATTGTTTGAAAAATTTTAGATGAAACTTCTACTATCGATCGATAATTTTCATGTACATGGTTTGTCATAGAATATTGTATGAGTTTAATCATTAAAATCTTAGAAACCAATTACATATTTATGCCAAATGGATTACCTCAAGCCACTCAAGCGGAAAGGAAAAGTGTTAAAGGAGAAAAGTGACAAAAGAATCCTAGTGAAGTTGCTAATGTGGATTCATGAGAATCGTGCGCCAACTAATATTCTCTTCGTTTTGGAAGACGTTGGCTTTGCGGATGGATTTTCATAATTGGTACGAAAATGTTACAACATTTTTTCAGCCCAACCAACTACGGAAAAGTTTTTACCAAAACTAGATTTTGTATCAAAGGCCATATGGCTTGGACATGTCTGGCTGCTGGAGAATTCTCAAGCATTTATTAACATAAAGTGTTATTTGTGAGACCACAAAAAATATCTGCTCAAAGCTCCATAAGCCGCATCTAAGAGGCTCTTTGCCTTTTGAAAACCAAAGTTAGTAGGGCTGTTTGAAAAAAAAAAACAATGTATATATAAAGAAGAGAAATGTAAAAATTTTGAGAACAACATATGCAAATAAGAAAAATGTATACTTTAGTTATTAAAATGTATATAAATTAGTTTCATAGATTAAGAAAATTTCTGAATTCTAATATAGTGATCTCATTACCAACTATATATAATCGTCAATAAACGTTAAAGAAGTTTTTCGGATATTATCGTTAATAGTAAAGTAGATCTCAAAACATAAACATTACAGAAATCTTCAAGAACAGATATCTAAGATAATAAACATGAATTAAACACAAAATTCCAAGAACATATTAATTTAAAATTCTCCTAAAACTAAATGGTACTTTTAACAGGAAAAAAAAAGAAAAAAAAAAGAAAAGAAAATACAATCACGTTTTCGATTTGAAAGTTTGCAATTTTTTGGGACTTATTTTTTTGTCTTGTTCGTTATGTCAGTGAATCAAATACTATGTTAAAAAATAAAAGTTTTAGTCAAAGAGAACTACACAGGGCATGGGCAAGTCATCTCACATCATCAGTGAGCTCACATCATCATCACATCATAAGCAACGATCGGATCAAATAATAAAAGAAGAAGAGACAGTTTGCACTTTGCATATAGAAGCAAAAAGAGAAGAGAAAACACTCACTACTTGGCCAACAATGGTTTCCATCTCTTCCATGGCTTTCCCTTCTTCTGTCACTTCCATGGCTTTCCCTTCTTCTGTCAGAAGAATCTTCTCATCTGTTTCTTCTTCTCACAACTTCTCAAGGATGAGAAGCTTCTCATCTGTTTCTGTTTCTTCTTCTGTGAGAAGTTTCTCCGTGAGAAGCTTCTCATCAACCAATGAGGAGCTCTTTGCAAAGGAGGCTGAGGAGAAGCTTGCAAAAGAAAAGGATGAGGAGCTCTTTGAAAAGGAGGCTGAGGAGAAGCTTGCAAAAGAAAAGGATGAGAAGCTTGCAACAGAGGCTGGAAAAGTTGAGTTTGCAGAAATTTCGGACAGGTTTACCAATCTCCTCAAAGTCCACCTAACTCCTCCTTTTTACGGAATCGGACGTAAACGAACGAAGTATTGGAATGCGTGTGCTCATTCAGCAATTGAGGGACTTGGAGTGGAGTTTGCTTTTGATAAAAAAGAAATACCAGTCAATGGAGATGAATTCCTATACTTTCTCTTTGAGCTCCCATCCTCGAAGAAATTGGTAGAAATCTTGATGGGTGAGAAAAGTGTCCAGTTCTTCTTGGATGAAGTGGAACAAAACGATCTGGCAAAAAAATACTGGGATTTGATTGAAGAGAAGCAGAGAACTGGGATTTGATGAAGAAAGCAGAGGAGGAGAGGAAGAAGAAAGCAGAGGAGGAAAAGAAGAAAGCAGAGGAGGAGTTGAAAGGAAACGACGTGGCAGAGGAGGAGCAGGGAGGAGAGGAGGACGACGTGGCTGAGAAGTGAGAACCCTAATTATTAGAAAGCTTTAGGAAGGGTATTTGCTTAATTTTGAAATCTCATAAATAAATTTTTATCATCAAAATTTCAATGTTTCCCGTAGTTTTACGATCTTGAAGAGATCAAGGAACGGTAATATTCAGGGTTTATCATGATATATTAATTGGATGTTCGCATTTGTTTCGGATAATAACCTAGCAAGATTTCTATACATATTATACTCTCGATGGCTTTTACTTGGGCTACAAAGAATGCAATATATTCAGAGTCGGATGATTGAATGGGTCATGGAGAAGTCTACAAAAATGTTTGATTAGTTTGGTGTTCTTATGAGCTATAATTGATGGATAAATTATTTATACTAGACACGTTATGTTTGATCATTTGTAATAACTCGATCGTATTTTAAAGTCAGTAAACTATTTTTAATCTTCATAATTTGAATTTTTTTTTGAAAAATCATCTTACCGCGCAAGGCGCGGGTAACTACCCTAGTATATATGTAAATGTGTAAGTCCATTCGATTTTTTCATATAAGAAAACTTTTCAACTGCATATAAATTATTGTTTGAAAAATTTTAGATGAAACTTCTACTATCGATCGATAATTTTCATGTACATGGTTTGTCATAGAATATTGTATGAGTTTAATCATTAAAATCTTAGAAACCAATTACATACTTATGCCAAATGGATTACCTCAAGCCACTCAAGCGGAAAGGAAAAGTGTTAAAGGAGAAAAGTGACAAAAGAATCCTAGTGAAGTTGCTAATGTGGATTCATGAGAATCGTGCGCCAACTAATATTCTCTTCGTTTTGGAAGACGTTGGCTTTGCGGATGGATTTTCATAATTGGTACGAAAATGTTACAACATTTTTTCAGCCCAGCCAACTGCGGAAAAGTTTTTACCAAAACTAGATTTTGTATCAAAGGCCATATGGCTTGGACATGTCTGGCTGCTGGAGAATTCTCAAGCATTTATTAACATAAAGTGTTATTTGTGAGACCACAAAAAATATCTGCTCAAAGCTCCATAAGCCGCATCTAAGAGGCTCTTTGCCTTTTGAAAACCAAAGTTAGTAGGGCTGTTTGAAAAAAAAAACAATGTATATATAAAGAAGAGAAATGTAAAAATTTTGAGAACAACATATGCAAATAAGAAAAATGTATACTTTAGTTATTAAAATGTATATAAATTAGTTTCATAGATTAAGAAAATTTCTTAATTCTAATATAGTGATCTCATTACCAACTATATATAATCGTCAATAAACGTTAAAGAAGTTTTTCGTATAAAAAAAGGTTTTTTTGTTTAATATAAAAAAATAAAGTAGTGGTTGTAATTATAAATAATAATTTATAATTTAAAATAGAATATATATTTTCGAGAGATCAAACATATCTTCTACGGTTGTTCTCAAAGAGTTTTAAACAACCAATATTTTTACTTCACATCATCATTCAAAATTAATTCTCTATGAGCAATTCCTAAAGTATAACCAAGCATATCAAAAATTAAAAACAAAATCAACCTAAAAAATCACCAAATAATGGATATTGCTTAAAATGACGAGTTTATGAAATAAATGAATTATATTTTAGTTACTTACTAAAAACATCCAAATTAAAAATGGATCATTGTCGCATATATGAAAATCAAAATTGTATATATGATAGTCAAAATTCTGATTGATTACTATTAAAAAAAATTGTTAAAAAAAAGCAAAGTCTTAGTTTTCTATTAACAACATAAATAAAATCAACTTTATAATAGATTATGAAATTTTATTAATTCTACAATAATAGTCTTAACTATAAATCTCTTACTAATAAAAGAAACTCATTCAGGCCTCTCAACGTGTCTACATGAACATTTTAAGAAATCTCTCTCATTATGCCACGTCAGCATCAGATGAATTTCTCACAAGCATTCAAATAATCAACTATATTTAGAAGGAAGGACTCTATGTTTTACTAGCTTCTGAAAAACCCAGTCAAACTCATAGAAACTCTCTCGTGGCTTGTTCGTCAGAAAAAAATACGATAGCTTTTGAAACTTTATCAAAACTCAAAATCGGAACTTTGAAAATAACAGATAAAAGACATTACGAAAGAGTTAAAACCTTCATTATTCATTGGAGAAACAACACCAATAAGCATGATCACCATCGTTCCCAAACAAAAAACCAAACTTTTCATTTTCTCTATGTCTTTTTTTTCTTATTTTTCTCAAGAGTAACAACACAAAACCTAGAAAATAAGAAACCACAAAAGACTCTCAAAGACCCCTTTTTCTTTTAGGGTAAGACTCGATCCTTTAATTTTAATTTGGTTAAAGTTGATTGGGTTAGTTATTTAGAAGAAAATTATATATATGAAAGTTGGTCAACTCTCTTCATATGAGTCTCACATCATCACTCCAGCATCTATCACTGTCCATTAAATAATTAATGTAGAGCTATTATTAGTTATCTATATTTAATTGTACTAATACTACTTTTATTTTTACTATATATATGTTTTTTCTAATAAAAATATTTTGTGATTTTTTCATATTCGTTTGGGATTTTTTCCCTAATGTTTTGTAGTTTTAACTTAAAATATGAGTAGATATTAATATTGTGATTTAGCTAACGGTTTGACTAGGTTATTCTTATTAATATCTATCTAAAATAGTATTACAGTGGGTGAGAAGTACATTAGAGGATCTCCATTATTAAATTATTGAGATTTATAAATTTGGTTTGCAACCCAAATTATTTCAGGATTGTGAATGATATATTTGTTAGATTCTTGAGAAGGTTGCTAAAAAAGTACTTTTAGAATAAAATTAAAAATTATATTTATATGACTGAATGATTATATGACTGAATGATTAGAAAATTAAAAATTATATTTATTAAATCATAATATTAAATAAAACAAAACAAAAAATCCAAAAAAAAAAACACTCTGGGTAGCGTGGGTGATAACCTAAAAGTCTTTGAAAGAGAAAGAGATGTAGTGACTTAGAGAAAATAATATAGAAGTATTTATATAGAGAGTTAGGAAAAAGATAGTTAGAGAGAAACATATCTAACTAATGGAAATACAGAAAGACAAAACAAATTAAAAAAAATAGAAAAAAACTATCCATATGATATTTCCAATAACTAAATAAAATTATGACAAGTGTATCTATGTATTTATGGATTTTACTTTCTCGACTTCATGTGGATAGTTTTCTTCCATTTTTTTTTTTTTTAATTTTTTTCCCCTGTGCATTTCCATGAGTTAGATATGTTCCTCGACTTCATGTGGATAGTTTTCTTCCATTTTTTTTTTTTACTTTTTGTCTCTCTATATTTTCATTACCTAAATAAAATTTTGACAAGTGCGTGAGTTGGAACAAAACGAAAATAAAATAAAATTAGACAAGCATTTGAAACACATTTTTTAATAAAATAATGATGGACAAACGAGAGGGATCATAGATTCATAAGGATAAATAATTCATAGTCCATATGATTAGTATAAAGTTTGAGCATTAGACGTCCCACCAACGAGTCTCCAAGAGTTGTACCATTGTCGATCAACATCTTGCCTCCAAAATAAATCTTTTGTTCTACAATTGAGATTTCCTCTTTAGCTTTAGCAAGAGATTTCAAAGTCTTGATTTTGATCTTGTCGTTTGTGACATTGATATTCACGGTTTTGCCTTCCACACCCTTCACGAAGATTTACATGGCAAAAAAAACAATAATTAAATATCATTTGTAATGTCAAAAAAGATAAGCTAAAAAAGTAAGAAATAAATTAAGACATATATATATATCTACTATACATTTTTGCAACAGTTTTTGGGGTACCCCAATCGGGTCGAAATTTTGACCCGGAAATCATTTAATTTGACCCGACTTGGAGACAATCGGAACTTACCTTCTTTGTGATTTTCTACCCGAAATTTATTCACCAAATCATTCCATTTTCGCTGCTTCCTACATTGAAGGCTTTACTGATTCAGTTTCTCAATTAAATCTCACTTAGAGATACACAAAATATTTGCAGTTATAACAATAACAAAGCTGCGATATGTAAAAATATCTCTTCTTCCCTATTAAAACGCAAGAGTAATTATTCCATTAATCATTTATTTCTATCAACTAAAGCAATCATATCAAACTGATATTATCGACTTGGAAATTAGTTAATACCTATAAGATTCTCTCTATATTCTCTTAACAATCAACCTAGCATATTCTCTGTTATTCCAGTCATTAAGATAACGCAATATATTCAATCCTTGATCAACAAGATTTTCTAATATTCACCTAAACCTAATGGAACCTACTAATTCAAATTCTATAAATAGCCGCTCATTTCCATCGTCTCTATTCACACACTCTCTCATTTCCCAAAAGCAATATATCATATAAAATTCTCTGCCTTTACCTGCAACAATGGCCTCCCAGTTTGCTATGTTGAGAGATGTCAGACCATACAAGACATCTTGGCGTGTGCAGGTTAAGGTTCTCCATTCTTGGCGTCAGTATACCAACAACACAGGTGAAACCCTTGAGTTGGTTCTCGCTGATTCACAGGTAAAACAACAATATATCAGAGAGCCTCATTTAAATCTACTATTCATTAGTGTGTTTTAGTACCTAACTCCAAATCTACTTCATTACTAAAACAGGGTGTCAAGATTCATGCTTCTGTTAAGAAGGATTTGGTTGCTAAATATGTTAACAGCCTACAAGTGAATGAGTGGAAGTTCATTGAACATTTTGCACTTACTCATGAAGCAGGGCAATTTGAGACCAACTGGTCATCTATACAAGATGTCCTTTGTCAATGGTACTACTGTGACACGGTCTGACATTGTCTCTGATTCAAGCTACTTAACACTGGCAAGGT